CCCCAAAACCCCAAAACCCCAAAACCCCAAAACCCCAAAACCCCTAATATCGCTTAAATATTTGAATTTTTAAAAATTAAGAATGGACCAACCTTCTTCATTCTCAGATAGCTCTCAAGGGCCGATATTTTATAACCAAGAGGTGTATTCTTGTGAGCGTAAGGGAAAGATTAAAAAGGCACCTTCAAGATCTCTCAGTCCTCAAACTGTTCAGCCGAATGCCGAGTACAAAAATTTATTCACAAATCCAACGATTGAATCTTCGATGATAAGAAACAAGCCTCTAGTTCCAGAACTCAAAGAGAGTTATGAAAGAATGTTGCTCTACCTGGAACAACTTTTTAGAGAAAGGTTTGTCAAAGTGAAAGGTGTTGTACATAATCTATTCAACCCCTTTTATAAATTGCATTCTGGTATGAGCTCAGAAGAGACTATCAACTCCTATCTGCTTTCAAATGATGAGACTAAAAAGAATCTTGAAATCAAGAAGTTCAAAGAAGTAGTAGAATCTACTCTTGCTGCTGAAAGAGAGTTATACATCGAACGTTTAGCTCATGAAGTCACAATTCTTAACGAAAAGGTAGTCACTTTAGAGAAAGGCTTCTCCACAGAGAAGGTCAAAGCTTGAGATGAACTTGAGGTTCAAAATAAGAAACTTAGACTTCAAATTATGAATCTTAAGAAAAGTACAGAAGAATTACAGAATATCAATGAGAACACTCTTAATGAGCTTGAAGAGAAGAATAAGATCATTGAAAAGCTCAAGAAGGATAACTCTAGTTCCAGTTTTAACCAAGAACACCTAGCTGAGAGACTCCAAAAAGAGAACTCAATTCTTGCATCTCAGCTTCGAGAAATGCAGGATGAGATAGCTGAAAATTGCAATATGAGCAGGATGCAAATAAAAAGTCTCACTTCCCTCGAGATGGCTAATAGTATGCTAAGTGATCAAGTTAAGAATCTCCAGAGTGAACGTGACAAGCTCTTGAATATTGTATCAGATAAAGAACAGGATGACAAGGTTGAAATAAATAAATCTCAGCTACATTCAAATCTACAAGGAATAGCCAAAGTTATGAACAAAAATGCGAAACTCAAAGAGTCCCTTACTTTAAAAGAGAAGGAATGTGAAAACTTCCAGAGCGAAGTATCCAGACTTAGCCAAATTATCAGTCTCAAAGACAAAGAAATTACAGATATTTTTACTCAACACCAAGATCTTCAGACTAGATTTAGCACAGAACTGACTCAGAAAGACTTGTTCATTCAGGAGAAGATAAAATGTGAGTTTCCTGCCTAATTTCATAGCAATAAAACATAAAAATTCCAAGAAAATAGATAAGCTAAAGACTACTTTTGAAAACATTCTCAACTCGAAATTGGGTGAAATAGAAAATGAAGCTGTCGGTCAAATCAGAGAGGCTAAAATAAAGGAAGAACAAGCGATGAAGAACCTCCAAGAGAGATCGGAGTCAATTAAATCAGACTTTATGTCTATTCATGAGCATGAGAAAATAATGAATGAGAAGATTCAGACTTTCAATAAACAAAAGGCTATAGAGGTTGAGACTCTCACTGAGAAGTTTGAGCAAGAGTTTAGACATCTTAAGGAAACCTTCTCGCTGAAGACCAATAATTCTAAGGATAAGCATCAGCTTAAAATTCAAGAATTAAATGAAACCATTGAGAAGCTGAGTAAGGTCAAAAGTTATAGCAATAGGTATTGAACTAGACTCACTAAGAGAAAAGGACGTTGAACTCTACCAGATCAAGAACGATCTTAGAGAGTCTCAAGAGAGACAGACAACAGCTGAAGAGAAAATATATGAAGCTGAAAATGAGATAAATGAACAACAAAAGATCAAAGGTAAGCGCATTTCTCTTATTCTAGATGACCAAATTTCAGCTTTAAAGGAGAAAAACTCAAAATTAAAGACAATGATAAAAGACTTAGCAAAGGCTGGGGATGACGCTCAAACACTTCTGTCTAAAGAAATTGAAGTTTTGAAAGGTAAAATCCGCTCCTTAGAGGACAAGCTCAAGGACGAAATTCACTATTCAAAAACCATGAAGAAGGAAAAACTATTACAGGAGCAAAAGAACATTGAGCTTATACAAAATTGCCAAGAAATTGATCAAAAGGTATCATTAATCCCATAGAATCCTCCTGTAAAAAATAGAGAGAATGCACTCTAAATAAAGTTTACCTCAAAGATTCTTTACCAATAAAATTCTGACTAAAGAGTGCACATTGGCTTCATTAGCCAGCCCTGATGGGCTAAATTCCCAAAAATTTTCGAAGCCTAAATCGATATAATTTTCTGATAAACCTCATCTTTTTAATAACCAAATTTATAGTACAAAGAAGCCCTTGAGACCTTGAAGGAACAAATGGTAGCCAAATCAAAAGAAGATGAAGCTATCTTTAAGAAAGTCCTTGATGAGAAAGGTAACATTAGCCAATATTTTTAGTGGCAAAGAGCAAACTATGCGAGGATACGGCTAAAGAGCTCCAAAGGCTGCATGAACTGTACACTAACCAAAAAAGTGAATGCGAAAATTTGAAAATTTCCTTAAAGGATAAAAACAGAGTGGTCGATCAAAAAGTAAGGCTTATATTCCTTAAAGCATTCTTTCTTTGAGTGTGCTAACTCTGAACCTTTCAGGTCCAAAAGATGCACAGCCTCTCTGAAGCCCTCAATGCATCACAGAGATCACTTGAGTTGCATAAAAAGGAAGCTAAGAATAAGAGATCGAGGCTTCAGAATGCATTCAAATCTGCATTCTCAACTCTAAGAGCTGAGATTGCAGCAATAAAGTCTAACATGAGAGGGGAGATTGACACTTTACAAAAGTTAATGAAGAACAGCATGGATGGGGTTATTATTAAATATAACGAGTCATTGCTGAAGTATACATATTTCTTACCTCTAGAGTCACTACTGCACATTCGTTAGAAAACCAAGAGCAACAACAGAAGTTCCAAGAGAGGTATATATCTTGTTTATTTCTTATAGAGTTCTACAAGTGAAGCTTGCAGCTAAAGAGGAAGTAAATGCTCTTGAGAAACAGATCACAGAGATTAATTATCAGCACAAAGAGGATATAAATGAGCTTGAAAACCAACATAAGATTGCGCTTGAAAACCTTAAAAGACATTATAACGATAAGTTCTCTCTTCAAGAGAAAAGTATCGGTAAGATTGATCTTTTATTTGTAGAGAATTATAAGCAAGAAGTTAAGAAAGATTTTGAAAATAAGAAAAGCCAAAATGATACTGTGCTAACCCGAAATGTGCTTCAAGAAATCAGAAGGTTTGAGTCTAATATGCAGACAAAGTCATCTGAGAAACCTCTGACCCTTAGCCAGCTAAAGCCTGAAAGATTGACTTCATCAACATCTAATCTTAGAAAAATAGAGCAAATTTCAAAAGTAAACTTGTTCTAAAATTTATAGAAACTTGATTCCAAGATTCAAGACTTGAAGTATGATAGTTTTAACTGCCTGAGCAGCTCTTGTTCAAAGTTTTCACCAAAAAGAGCTACCTTTGGGAATACGAAGGCTACTCTTGGCTTCATGTCAAACCCGCATCTTTCCAAGATTTCCTGTGACAAAGAGAATCATTTAAATAATTTTGAATAATTCTTTCAAAATTATGAATTTTCGGGGTTTTGGGGTTTTGGGGTTTTGGGGTTTTGGGG